AATCAATACAAATTCAAGCAATATTAATTGTTTTAATCTCACTACTTGTATAAAATTACATACAAAGTATGTAATGTTTGTAAAAATATTAAKTGAAAATTTTTAAGGTTAGAATATATAACTGAATAACGAGTAACCTAAAAAATAAAACCATTTTATAATATTCTATCTAATGCAAAACTTATTAAAGTATTTAACGTTAGATAACGTTAGAAATAAAATCAATAATTAGTTTAATACGTCACGTTCACTGGATCTTAACTCGTTGAAGGACGGAGGGGGAATGGAGATCTCTCTGTGTATATCTCCTAGAAGTATCGAATGCTCGGTGCTCGGTGCTCGGCTGTTTTCGTTTTGTTTCGGTTGTCTTTCTTCACCTCAAGAAATTCCTGGAAATATACACACCAATTCATAATTGCCTATAGGCCGAATATTTTGTTTTCTTATATTCTCTCTCTCTCTCTCTATCACTCTCGTTCTCACTCTTTCTATATAGGTTAAAAAAAGAATAACGCTTACCTCGATGAATATGAAGATAAAAAAGAGTAAACACAATTTTTTGACTGAGTATATGCATTTTTGCTAGACTTTCCCAATGCCTTAGAAACCGAAATAAAATAAAAAAAAATAAAATTACATTAGTACAATATAAAGAAAGCTAAATACATGAGAGTGTATGTGTACGAGCTTCCTATATACTTATGTATATATGTGTATGTAATCACTCACGTATGAAAATCTGTGTAGCTATCGTTTGATATATAATAGGAAGGTGTAAAATACTTTTCAATTACCTGGATTAAACGAGATGATGCAGTACGCTTTATATACACAGTTGACACATTGAAAATGGTGGTCGTCTCCGCAAAGAAACTAGCGACATCTGCTGCATTGAGGCTGCTTGGTGCAATTATTCCATCTATTATAGGAAAACAATGGATAGTAAAAAATAGTACATAGGAACAAAACAATTGTCGAAATATATACTTCATTAAACCATGCAATAAAAATTGATCATTTTAAGTCGATACCTATAGAAAATATGTCGTAAAATAAGAAAATAATTGCATAGAAAAATGCACATCCTAAAGTGCATAGAATTTTTTTCTACGCAAATATTTGTTATCCTAGACATTATCGTAATCTTTCGATTATATTATTTAGAAGTAATTTGTTAGAAGAATCGATTAGTATATAAGACAATTATTTACGTTAGAAAATATTTGTTAATTACCTGAGTTTAACGAGACGCCATATTATCCGTGCGATCTCCACTACCGATGCCGCGAAAAGAAAGAAGGAATATCAGCAAAGAGCCCTGATTGGCTGATGATTATTTCAGAAGTCAAGTGACCAATAAGAAATTCCCAATAACCATATAGAGATGCATTTCACGCACCAAGCTTGGTCCGTCACACGTACGTAACTCGGCTTTCGTCATGACCATGCTAGTCATGCTTGATATGATAATTTATTTATTAAATAAATTAAAAATCTATTCTTTTTTTTCTATTAAATGTACACATATCTTGTTAATATTTAAAAAATAACGAAAAGAATAAAGACAATATGCACTATAAACCTTATCACACTACATCTCTTGTCAATATTTTCAAAATAATGAGTAATATAAGTTTAATATATATTAGAAACTTTTAGGTAATGCATAGAAGAACAGAAGTAGCTCAGAAAAACCGTATAGAAAGGAAACCTCGTAGCAGATATTTTTAAAACAAATGACATAAAGCAATATAGTAATCTTTAAAGAATTAAAATAAAGAGAAACAAAACAATTGACATCCTTCACGAGTTTTTTTCATGCCAACTATGAAAGTATAAATTACCATATTCTGTATCTATATGGAAAAATTCTTGTTGTTTTATTTCTTAAAAATGACTATATTGCTTTATGTCATTTGTTTTCAAGATTTCTATAACGTGGTTTCTTTTCTATATGATCGTGTATCTCTGTGTAGTGTGACAAAGTTTTTGGTTATACTCTCTTTATTTTATAACAAATTTTTTAAATATTACCAAGGAAACTGTTACACGTATATATAACATTTATATATTTAATTTTCTTTATATTGTACCAATGCTATGTAACTTTATACTTCTTTTTAGGTTTGGTAGAACACTGCATGAATACACATACTAATTGTCAGTTTATTTGTGTTTAATTTTCTATCTTGATATTAGTGTGGTAAGTTTATCTATTTGCTTTTATAACATAAAGAAGAGTAATATATAATGAAAGAGAGAAGGGAAAAATAAAATAGAAAACATTTTCCATTAGTATAATATTTATTCATAGTC